CATGATTTTTGGAAGCTGTAGGTAATCTCACTTTGTCTCTGCTTGTCTCTACTGCAAGCCCAGAGAATAGAAGCTGAGTAACACAGTCCAAATTTGTGTTGTTGTTGTTGAACCAAGGTCTTGCCTTGCGGGCTGGTTGCTTTAGTTTTTATGTGAGGAGACAGAGCTGGACTGGCACTAAAGCACATGCCTTTGTTCCTGCCCACTGGCCATGGAGCCTGATGAGCACATAAAACTCTCTTGCTTTCTAGCCTTCTCATGTCCCAGCTGCATACCCCTCTGTATGCTAATGCTTTCTGCTGCCACTTTTTCTTTTAGCAGTCAACAACTGTGAAGTGTGCCACCAAGGCAGTGCTAGACAAAATGGTCTGATGTGGTTTATATAAAACTGCCCTGAACTTTTCTAGCCATTACCCAGAGTTGCTGCATGTTAAAACCCAAATGTCCACATCAGTTGCAATCTGCATTAAGACTTTACCCCTGTTTTTTACGTTGGTCTTGTCTTGTGTAAAAAGTTATGTGCAGCCCTTTCATTTACAGCAGTTTTGATTCTCCTTTGTTAAGATCAAGCCAACATGCCTGGAAAGAGAACCTTTTAATCAACAAGGTCTGTGAGATCTAGGTAAACCTGTCCATTAACAGTTGCCTTCACCTGATTGTTGTCTCCAAAGCTCCAGTGGTCTCTAACCTGATCTGCTTTCTGTGATATGAGTGTCTGATACTTGCTGGCTCTCTTGTGCTCCCCATGGCTTCTATGCAGGTCTCCTGAGGTGCACAAAGCCACCTGGTTGGATCTCTGTTGTCCCTGTCTGCAACCATCTGGATGAATCTATGCCCATCACCATCTCTTTATTTATTTGCTTTACACTTGAATCATTAACAAAAAAAAGTCACCTTTGAAATTAGACTTTTAAAAACCACCAGTCCATTTGTTTTTGATTGTTTACAGGTAGCCAGAATAATTGTAATAATGAGTTTTGCTGTTGTCAATCTGCCAACTTCACTTGTCAATTTGTCAATCAGAGCAACTTCAGACTTGGGTACTGCGTGATTTTTATTTATTTTTTTTCCTGACATTTTCCAGAGCTTATGTTAAAATAGCTTTTGTCTTGATCTCTCACTTCCGTCACTTAAAAAAGATTTTAGTAATCACATTTAAATTGTGATGTCCCTCAGTTGTATTCAAGATGCACAATACATATATGCGTAACTTTAAAAAAAAATTTTTTTTTATCTCAGACCTGATGATATGAGGAGGAACGTATTTGCACAATCTTTCTTCACAAACATAATAATTTTCTGGGAAGTCGTTCAGTGAGCGCTGAATACGGGCCAACAGCCTGAGGCTTTGTCAGTGGTTTGAAAGAAAATACTACTGTTTGCTGCGATGGAGAATAGTATTCAGAGGGTGGAGATTAAAAAGTTTTAAAGGTGGAGATGTACGTCAGAAAACTAATAAAATATCACTGCATGTGTTTACTTGTATGACACAAGGGCATGGTAAAGGTTAGGGAGGGGATTCATTTCACTTGCTTTTCTTACTAGATCTCCTTTTCTTCTTGTGGTTACATTGTTTATGATTCCTGACTAATTAATGCTGCAAATAATTTACAACATTTGAAAGTATATAATAAGTCTAAAATAATTCATAGAAGATGTGTTTTATCTTCAGTTGTGTTATGGGTCTGAGGTCATTTGTAATAGCTGTATACAGTAAATACTCCCAAGTTTGGTGTATAAATTTCCTTTTTCTTGCCCTTTTTGAGAAAGGTACTACTTTTTTCCACCCTGTGAAAATCTTCTGTTTCTTCTTTTCTCCCTTCCCCCCCCCTCTCACTCACTGCTCTTCACTGTTTACCTTTTAGCTGCTACTGACAGGCTCTCATGCATGAGTTTTGTGTGTGTGTGGGACCATTTCTGTCCCTTTTTCTTGTTGGTATGGTTTGGTCTTCTAATGCATGAAGCGTGTCTGTCGGCAATTCCCAGCAGGAGGCCTTTTTCCCCACAAGGCTTAGACAATTTTAAAGATAAAGAGATGTTTTGCTGGAGCTTGTACATTAAGAGAATATCATCAAATCTGTTTTACTTTACTAAATCCAAAATGATTGATAAGCTGTTATTATATTAAAAATCAACATATCACAGTACTTGTCACTTTCCAGTCTTTTATTTTTCAAACCTGGCTCCCTTCTGGGTTTTTACAGGGTCCAGTTTGCAGTGAAACATCTACGACAGATGTAAATGTTTCACCACGCTGCAGCACTTTGGTACACTTTATGCCAAGTTGAATTTTTAATGGGTTTTTGTTCTCCTGCTGTGCTGGCTGATGTATCCATGCAGGCCAAGAATGCACATGTATTGTTGTATCCACAGCCACCCATGCTAACTCTCACTGGCAAAGTGGCTTTTCCTATCAAATTGGATTATATCACATGAGTGCATCTTTCAGTCCCATTGGTCTGGGTCGATGGTCCTGATGTCTCATCGGCAAGCCTCTCTGGGACTACTGCAGTAATGTACAATGTCACTGCTGCTAATGGGATCTTTTCTCTAGTAGAGATTTGTTTATTTTTGGCTATAATAGTTTTAAAGCGTGGTGTTTAACAGTAAATATGGGTGTCAGCTCAGTTTTTAATTAGTTTTCCTTGGCCTCATATAGTTCCTTAATCTTATAAAAATGAGTATAAACATATTTATGAAATGTGGAGGCTGAAGTAAGACAGACATATTTATTTATAAGCCATCATCATTCAGTGGAAATTAAATAAAATGCCCTTACTAGGTTTAGTCCTATTTGATTATAATACAAAACTCAGTGTGGTATGTTTTTGATGTATGATACATCATATATGGAACACAGCAGGAGCAGGGCATTGGCAGCCAAAAAACACGGTTAAATCCTCCAATTTTCTCCTTGACTTTTTGGGTTAGTAGCACTCAGGACTAGCTGTTTATGTGTTTGCATTCATGCTAACCACTGCAGTTGAATTTCAGCAAAATTAAAAGGATCATTTTTATATTAATTTAGTTTTGTGTCAGACTTATAGGGAGCCAGATGGACAAAAAAAGCCACATAAGACTCTGGAGCCCTGGGTTTGAAACCCCTGGGTTAGGCATTTAATCAGTAACAATTATAGTATCCAGTTCATGAATGCTAAAGTGCAAACATTTTCTGCAGGTTTTTCAGTGTGAGGTTTTAATGTTCATAGGGGAAACTGGTTGCATTTATTGATAATGATGATGATGATAATAATAATAAAAAACAACAACAATTAATTGAATTATTTAAAAAATGAATAAAAATAACTTTATCCACAAAATCATACTAAACAATCTGGATATGTGACAAAGGGCTGCATGCATTTGTTTCAGTTTATGCAGTTTTATTTTTCTTACTAGATCGAAGAACTAAGCGAAACGTGAATGATGGTGGAAAAAAAATCTGTGAATAATAAAATACAAATCTTATTTGGCTTTGTCTTTGCAAATGTGTTTAAAATTAGGTGCTCAATGGTGTTTTTGCGCAAACAGTCTTTGCCAGCGTGACTTTAAAATGTTTATCCAACTGGTGTTAAAATGGTTATTGCATTTTACTGTAGCTCTTTTATTTTGGATTCATTTTATTTGCAGCTGGATTCCAGAGTCCTGTTTTAGTCTTCCTTCTTTTTTTCTTTTTTCTTTTTTTAGTTTCAGTTTTAGCTGTTTTTATGATAGGAGTGGCATTTATCAGAAGTTAAGAACCAAGAACCAGTTTTACAATAAAAGCAGTCATGCATGTAGAAGTGTCACTGTCAATAGGCATTTTCACCAAAGCCTCAAACTGGTTGCTTTACCAAATTAAGTAAAGACTAAAACTTAAGACTTTTTTGTCTTTTTTTTTTTTTTTTTTTGTCAGTTATGTTGGGTTTTTTCTTTCTTTTTTCCCCTCTAAAATATATGAATTTATTTGTGATTTATTCCCAGGTTTTTTTATAAAATCAGTAGACTGCTGGCTGGTTTAGTGAATTATGCCTGTAGAAGCAGCAGTGCTGGTGACTTGGCCTACTTGGTGCACCATGGGATAGCTCCCAAATAGAGGTGTGTCTGTTCATTCAAACTACATCCTGGATAAAGGCTCCTGTGTAAATGTTGAAGGTGCGTCACAGTGCTGGTATACTCAGAGTGATCCGTATAAATCATAAAGACAAGTTTCACAAATACTTTAAAGTGGTTTGGATTATAAGCGTATGTGTCCTTTCAGGATCTAAAGTCTACTCAAGTGTGTTATTAAATTGTAATTATGTGATATTGAGAAGGAACAGGATGAGGTTTTGGCGTTATGTAACAAACTGTCACGTACACGTTAAAGTCTGACGTCTGTTTTAAGGGATGCAGAATAAAAGCTTTATCACTCTGAGCTTTAATACAGTTTAAATAGTCATTTGTGACATGCAAATTTTGGCTCAGCGTCCGTTTTCGTATCAGACAGCTTTCAAATAAATGCAGTTAATTGAATAATAAAAGTGGCACATATGATTAAAACTTAACCAGAACGTCACTGATGATGTGTTTCATCTGGTACCCGATTAATCAAAGTTCTCATTATATTAGCTATAAAATCACAGATGTCACCTTGTTGTTGACCTTGGGACACCGTTTTAAGTTAAGACACTAAGATCTGACAAGTACTCAAGGAAAGGCAGTATTTCTTGTGAAAATGGATAAGTGCCTGTAAAATGACTGATGTGGCCTTGACCTTAGAGCAGCAGTCCCCAACTTTTTTTTGGCGCCACGGACCGGTTTATGACAACAATATTTTCACAGACTGGCCTTTAAGGTGTCGCAGATAAATACAACAAAATAAAACTAGTACCGGTACCGAAAAATAGATTTATTCATAACACACATGAAAAAGACCGAGGAAAACCGAGTTAACGATAACAAAATAACACTGAAAACTGATTTTAAAAACCCTGAAAACTATACATTTCACACCTGAGCCTCAACTCTCACGGCCCGGTACCAAACGACTCACGGACCGGTAGCGGTCCGAGGCCCAGGGGTCGGGGACCGCTGCCTTAGAGCACACTTTGGGTGAGGACCCATCATGTCTTTATTGCGTGTACACTTGATTAAAGTCTGACTAATATTTGATGAAGTGTAGCCATTAATAAATTTGTGAATTGTGGCTTGGTTAATGATGGACACATTGCCGAAACATAAACTCATAGCCCATTGACCAGATAACCTAACTGGTGCTCTGCTCCTTCAAAACTAGCTCTAAATGGTCCATTAGACTCCATCATTTACTGTTGCAACTTCCTCAGTATTATTTTGTTCCACACTTAGTTGGGTTATCATAAAGCAGTTTTACGATTTAAATTGGTTGATCCCTCGTTAACTGTTAACAGACGCTTAACCTTCACCTTTTCTATCTATCCATTAGTTGCGTTAAAGCTTTTGTGGAATTAGTCTGACAGGGATTTTTTTTTTTTCCAATTTGTCCTTTAATTTAATCTTCTGTTCACTTAGTTGTTGCACAGACTTTTTTTCCTTTTACTTTCCAGCTACTGGGAAATCCTGACAGATTAGGACAGCTGCGAACTCCACTTTGATTCTAAGGAAAAGACTGAGATATTTCAACCTGTAAGCAAAAATTAGGCAAGTAAGTAAATGAAGCAACACCCTCTGAGTCAGGTGTGACTGCTTTCTGATCTGATCTGATGCTTGATAAGTACAGGCCTGTATCTTTGTGTCAGAAGGCAGGGCTAGTTATTCTTAATGGCTGAAGTATATTGCAGTGCCTCTACTCCTCCAATACGTCAAGTCCGCACATAGCATTATAGCACTTAGGCAAATGAACCCAGTACTCAAACCCCATTACAGTAACTTGGGTCACTCCAAGCGGAGGAAGGCAGTAAGAAAAATGCAGCATTGCTATTGTTTACAGGTTAATGCGTCTGCAGCACTAGGTAGTAAACATGAGCATTTGACAAGTGTTGAATATAGAGGGGAAAAATGCATTCAGTGATAGTTATCAGTCACCTTATAGGTGACAAAATAGGGTACAAATTTTGACATGGTTTTTCATGGAAAGGTTAAATTGCATGGCAAGTTTGATGATCGCAGATGAGGAAAAAGATGAAATGATTATCAAAAGATTTAAAAAGAAAATGTAGTCTGCATAAAGACTATAAAAAGGCTGACATGAGACTGGAGATAATCAGAAAAGGGAGATTCAGTATTTTAAAAAGCAAATTAAGAATTTTGCAGTCAGCGATGAGGAAAATTCTTTATCATCTTTGATAAAGAATTTTATCACTCTCGTTGCGTGACGAGAGTGATAAGGAACTCTCGGAGCTCTCAAGGCTGAATCATGTGAACAAGGAGCTGTGTAAACTAGTGCATGACCATGTAGTGCTTGAAAATGAAAAATCTTGAAGATCCCTGATGTACTTCACCAGCGGTCAATAAACCAGACCAGAACACCTGCTTATACCAGCAATGTGCTGCAGCTAGACCCTGGTTAAGAACTCTCTGAGTTGGGAAGCGAGCAGTTTTCCAGTTCAGCCGCTCTGTCCTGGTGGCTACGAGGATGCATCAGTGAAGAGGATTATGGAGGATCAGCAAGCTTTAGAACAAACTGCTGTTGTCCGTTATTTCATGCTTCAATGTGGAGCAAAACTGGCGTGCACACAGACTCCAACTTGCACACGCAAACATGGTCAGTCCTCTTAAGGCCGAGCTTTAGGCACTGCCCTCTGTTTTCCTCCAAACAGTGACGGCATGTTTTTGTCTGCTTGGCAGATGCTCTGGCCTACTTTTCCAGGCAAGCCCTGGCACATCTCCACGCCCCATAATCCACCTCTGGCCACGTGGATCCTGGATTCTCTCCTCAGCTCTTTTACCTCTCCCATGTTCCTGTCTCTATTCAGTGTGAAAGTAAAACATTGTGTGTCTTTCTCTCAATTTCTGTGGCTAAGGAAAATAAATCCTCAGCAATTGGGACTTTTGAATTTCTTGTTTGTTCGTTTTTTAAAATTCTGTGTGTGGTTAGGCTGGGTTGGCTTTACAGTCAAATTTAAAGAGAAAAGTTGAACTCAAGTTTAAGCTGTTATTGACATGGTTTTCCTTCTTAACTCACTCCAGCCAGCAACTCCCCTCATATCTGGAATAATGTGAAGATCACAAGACTCTCCTTTCCCCGTGGACACAGGACAGATAATGTAGTATTCACTCTGCTCTTTATTATGAATTTAAAACCATAGTAATTTGAGTAATTTAACCTTATTTGACATTTCTCCTTTTAACTTGTTGTTTGTGTCAAAATAGAAAGTTTTTCTTTAATGGATTTCTAAACTTATCACATGCTGTTGGTTATTTAAAATGAATATGTGTGTCAGGGAGAGTTTATGTAATGGAGAGCAACAAGCTGGTCAGAGATTTAGGTCAGGAAATCGAAAGACGGCAACTAATCTCCTGTGACTGACGTTGAAGGCTACATGTGCTGCAGTGTCATGTTGGGACCAAGATCAGTTTGTATGACGGGGCAGGATGATGACCTTTTGTATATGTTATTGATATTTCATTTAAAAAAAAAACTAATTGGTGAAAGAGGAGAAAGGTCATAGGCGTACATCAATATGTCTAAAATCTTTAAGACAGAAGGAAAACTTCCTGCGTGACAAGAGATCAGAGGGCACTTTGCATGCCGTGCAGCTGGTGATAAAATTAGACTTGTTGTTGTCGGCAGATTAAACAGTTCTCGCTTTGTTGCCTCTGCAGTTTTGTCTCCTGTGTCAACCCAGTCAGTTAGTATAGTACAGTTGATTCGATGAGGCTAAATCGTGTCTCCCGATTCTGAATGCGCCTAAAGCCAACAGGAAATATCAGGGGATTTGTGTGCTCGGAACCAGCACAGACATGTAGCTATTGCCTCTCTGTGCATCTGGCTATAAAGTGTTATCTTCATCATTATTAGGAATATTTCTTGCTTTTAGAGACTAATATGCAAAAGGCAAAAGACTTACTGAAAATCCTAGGACCGTATGAGTTCGGTCAGGAAACGAGAAGAGAAGCAGAATGGGGAAGACTCTGCCGACTGCTGACTCATGCTCGTCCGTCTTGAGGTTAACCCACTACTGGTATGTAATAAATGCCATACAGTGTGTTGCAGTGTTCTCCCCACTTCTTCACTTGTGGGTACTATGTTCCCCCTCCCACTGTTGCATACACTTTTGAATTTTAAAAAGTAGGTCACAGTATACCCCCAAAGCTGATACTCTCACATCGGCTCCTCTTTTTTGTTTTTATTTAGTTATATTTTATCTGTTTTTGTTTTGGTTTGAGGTTTTTTTGGGGGGGGGGGTGTTTTTCCTCCTCTCTTCACCAGCCTTGCCTCCTTACCTTTGGAAGAAATGTCAACACTGAGGTCTTTTTGCATCATCCCCATGAATGAATGGAGCCAGGCCAACCGTGCCTCCCACTTGTTTGACATTTTGGTTTGGGTTTAAATGTCTCAGTACAAACAGCATATTTGTGCTCTTGAATTGCTCCGTATACAACCCCAATTCAAAAAGCAGAACACTGTAAAGCTAAAAAAGGAACGCAATCATCTGTAAATATTGTAAACCCATATTTTATTCACAATTGAACTTAGAAAACTTAGCAAATGTTTACCTGCCTTTTACACAGTGTCCCACTTTTGGGGGGGAATTGAGGTTATTTATTAATCTTTGAATCTTTTTCATTTGATTAGACACATTTATGACTTTGCAAGTTTCCCTTTAAACATTTTCCCAGTGAGTCACATTGGGGATGATTGTGAGATTTGCATTCATGATCAAGGAAGTTTATACAGACGTGTACTGTACTGTGAGATCTGTTTGTCACCCATCTGCATTTTACACAAGGGCGCTTATCTGAGAGATTGAATGATAGTTTTAAAAAAAATGATAACAAGCAGTGTTTAGTTGATGCATCACTGAGCATGCTTTGCACAGAAGCAGCAGCTGCAAAGTCACTTCTGAAGTCACCTTTTTTACTTTTTCCATTTGACCTTATTGGCCTTTATCTGAAACTTGAAAGTGAAAAAGTCTAGGTTTCATCAGGCAAAAATAAGGAAATAATCATATCAGAACTTGGCAAAGTATCCAGAGGATGTCCGATCTTTGCAAAATTTTAAATTATTCTAAGGCTTTGTGGCAGTTGTAGAACGGCTTTACGTAAGCAGATCATGCAGAGTCAAGAAATCACAGGACAAAGCTGCAGGCGTCTTATAGCTGAAGGTTTCTGACCAAAACCACACAGGATCTTGTTTTAAAAAGACAGCTCAGACTCCAAAATTATCTGGTACCTGTCACTTATTCTATTTCCTCTATAACAATAAAAGTACAGTTGGTGTGAGATGCACATTTAAAGATTTATATGTTAAATTGATGGGTTTGCACTGTATTTCAGCTTCTGAATTGGTGTAATACATGCATAGAGGGAAAGTGAAAATAACATTATTACTTCATCTTACTCCTATATTTGCTATATTGATTGTTTGTTTTCTTTCAGACTCGTAACTCAGACACAACCTCTTTTATCTTCCGTCTCATGATCGACTGCTTGTCTCTGTGTAATTCCAGGCCACGCATGCACTTTCAAGTTATAAATGATTTTTGGATAAGTCACGAAGACTAAAAAGGTGGAAGCAACCAAAAGGAAGCTGCACAGCACAGCTGTTGCATGTTGACGTGATGTGTTTTCACTGATTGTTAGCAATGCCATTATTGATTCTGCTTTACTGGTCAGATTATTTCCTTGACTCGACACACATGTGATTCAATAGATCTGCAATGCAACAGTTGATTGGTTTAGGAAAAGCTTGCACTACAAGCTTTACGACTATGTACAGGAAGAGAAATAAGGGAACAAAAACCATCACTGCAAAGAGTATGGAAGAGTTTTGCAGGCAAGGACCTGGTAAGCGCTTTGAGGTGGCTGTAGCCTGAAAAGTTTAACAGAAGTCTATTATAATCCAAAATAAAATGAATTGGCATGTTGGTGTCAGGCACATGGCATGGATTTTCCTGGAATTTTTGTTTTTTCAGAAGATTTTTGAGTACATTTTGTTCCTTTTTGATATTAGGGTAAAGAGTCTGTATTTGACTGTGTGGGCATCTATGATTCATATGCGTCTGTGTGTGAAACACTGGTTTAGCTTTTGAAGGCATGGAGTAGCTCTGACTTGACTAAACATGTGTTTTAATGATTTTTCTGCTCTTTAGTCAGCACGTGATTATTAGGTAACGAATCAATATTTTCATGAACGTTCATGTTTGTTTAAAATTGAAGTTAAAAGTATTTTAGGATAAAACCATTAATCATCCCTGTTGCATACATGGATGCCACGCTGACCTCAAGATATGCTAATGGTCTGTTACATAATATCGTGACGTCACTGAATGGACGAGGTCTTCCCTTTACATTCATGTGTGTTTGAGTTATAAGGGGTCACAGGAGACATTTGAAACGCAACACAAAATAGCTTAAAGCTATGGATCTAAGTTTAGTCAGGAAGATACATTAGCTTGTGCTCCATATTTACTCCTTAGTGTCTGTCTAGTGATTGGCTTTTAGGGTTCCCCCTCTGGCTTTGTGGCTCATTTTATCACCTTTGGGGGAACGCTTACACTACGAGGTGTTAACACATATACGTTCGTGCACATATTTCATCATTTCATTTTGACAGCTGTGTCAGGGTTTTTGCTGGCTTGGAGATGGCTATGCTTGTAAGCATGAACAATCCACATACAAAAGAGTCGAAGAGTCTGTATGACTTTAATTTAAGAGCGATCTATAAATTTTTCTGTTTAACAAGATAAGATGTCTGTAATACTTGAATAAATGAAATGACAATTAACAAATGTGGTTAAAATATGCTTGTGTAGCAACCTGTTTCTAAACCAATAGTAAATTTAATTCCTCGGTTTTAGAGTTTAATACTCTTTAGAATTGAGCTCTGGCACAGATATAACACTTTGCTCCTCTGCCCAATATATATACTGGGGTAAAACCATAGACTGGGCTGTGATTCATTTTGTAATAAACTGAGTCATCTTTATTAACAATGGCTTTGTTGTATTACTAAATTGATCCCCTTTTAAATTTGTTGCATTTATTTTTGTAAGGACTTGTAGATAACATATGTTATTCAGTTATATGGGGGGGAAAAAAAGCACTTTATCAAATCACCAAATGTTGGCATCAGCCGTGTTATACTGGGGCTTGGTGAATCCCATCAGTAGAGCCTGACTGATTATAGCATTTGTTTTTAATGATATTATTATTATTATTATTATTATTATTATTATTATTATTATTATACTGATGTGATAATGATATTTGATTGTGGGTTTGTTAAATTTTTTTTTATTGATTTATTTTGTTCACTTTTAAAGTGAGAATTCAGTCGATCACCATAAAGCATGGACAGATTTCCCTTAGAATTATGTAATTATTTACACTCTGCCCAACTCTGCTCAGATCTGCTGATTGTGTTTTTGCTGCATCAAGTGTTTGTGTACACTTGATGAATGCTGTTACTGATGAATCAGCAAAAAGCATATATCGCCTGATGATATCGGGCCTGCCACCAAAGACACTAGACCTCAGTTTCTCTAATATCTGAAAGAGAAACAATCTAATTTAACCATCTCTTTAAGCCAGCTTCTTATTGCCGGACCTTCCTAAACAGAAGGTTTGGTGAATGTCTGTGCCCGAGATGATTATATTAGAGGGGTCAAAGCTTTCAAAAGATGTTCTTCTCATGTTTTTTGTTTTGTTTTGTTTTTTGTCTTGTCTATTTAGTCTCTTCAAACATAGAATATACGGATGGCAGGGCTCTCTGAGTGACAGGACACTGACTTGCACAGATGCTTGTCTGTCAGTGATTGCGTATGCTGCTCACTGTGCATCTCCTTACTCCTGACAGCCAGGCTGACAGAGCGCTAACATGATTGTCCATGTGCTTCGCTCTCTCCTGACATTTGAGCACTCAAGGCTAACTGTTTCAGCCTGAGGATCACATGGCACTTGCGAGTAGAGTTGTGTCTTTCTGTCTGTCTGTGCAACAGTTACTGATGGGTGTTTTTTTTTTTTATGCTTCAGGTTTGAGCTTTGTATGCTTCCTTTCATAAGTGCACATGAGCTCTAGTTTAAATGAGCAGGCAGTTTCCATATTGTGGTTTCTTACATTGGAAGCTTTGACACGGTTTGTTGATTTTTTTTTTTTTTTTTCACCGACGTGAACTAAATTATTTAATCAGTTTAAGTTTTCTGTTTTGCTTCCCAAATGTGTGAGTTCTTTCTTTAAAGCTAAAGCCATTCAGTTTAACTAAATCTATAAGCCAAATGAATGGCTCAAAGTCTGTATGCTGACTAACTTGTTCACCCTGTTATAATATCAACTAACTGACAGATGGCTTAAGTTAACTTGTTAAGACAGTTGAGACCTACCTCTTGTTTCATTTTGCTTTTCATTTCTACTCCACTAATATAGTAATAACTGAGAAACAGTTGTGCCTATCTTTCCCGCCTCCCTGCCTTGTTTCTTTGTTCGGTCTCTTGCTTTGTTTGCCTTTTATTAGCTCTGGTCTTGTGGTTTCATAACCTTTCCATCCTTGTTTGATCTCCTTTTTATTAACTTACTGTTGAAGTTGACATTCATTTGATATAAGGTTAACGTGCCCCCCCACCACCACTCGCACGCGCACACACACACACCCCACCCCAGTAATTTTTGAGATTATGTAGTTTGAACACGCTGCAGGTTGGTGGAAGTTGGTGAACATAACCGAGAGTCATGGGAATCTCAATATCTCACAAAATGCTCATTTCACCTGAAGTATAAAACTTGTGTAATTTAAAAAAACAAAAAAACAAAAACACAATAGTGTGTGTCTTTGCAACTTTGTCAATTCAGTAAAAGTACTTTTATTCTCCTCACAGTCGGTGATTTAATGCGACACCATTAAGAGCTACGAATTAGCGAACTTTTCAGAACAGCTGGTGTAGAACACCTGCGTGTTTAAATTGATAGGCATTAGTAGTTTGACAACAAGATACACGAAGAAGCAGTGCAGAAAGTGCTCAGGCTACACTTTTTTTTCACTTGACTTTCAGATGGCTAAAAGAATTACAGCAATATCCTAAGCCAAATTTGAATCAAAGAAAATAGTTTGCCTTGAGCAGCTTATAAGAATACACATGACAAAAGGAATTTGGTTTACCCTGTTTTGTTCATGCAATTCTGTTCCTGTCTGTCTCTCCTTGTAACTTAATGTGGACTCCTTCCTTTGGTTTTAGCCCTTGTTTTGAATCTCTACTTTTGCTCTCCTGTACTCGAAGCTTTCTTTGTTCTCCTATAGTCAGTGCTTTAATTAACTGTGTGAGTGGCTCTTTCCCCCAAGGCTACTTAGGCTAGCCCAAGTACTTCTACAGTAATCCTTCTTTTGGTTTGTTTGTTTGTTTGTTTTTAAAATGTGTGTGTATATAAAGGCTTATAAATGTTCTAACAAATCTTCTCTTGTTTGTCTTTCAGGTACCCTAGTCAACATGTCTATTGTTCAGAGCAGAGCTTGTCCGGCTCAGGTCAGCCTCGACAGGAGAAAGATCCTGATGGCCTCGAGCAGGAGCAGGACTCCACGCAAAACAAGGTGTGTAGAAGTTCTGGCCTTTTCATGTATCTCAGCTTTTGACTGTAACAGATTACAATTTGGAGACCTGTATAATCGTTCTTAATGTGAAAAACAGAAACGGTCATCTTAACACCAAGTTCTACCTGTGGGAGTTGGGTCATGAACTTTAGTGACCCAGTAAACGTTGACGAAAAATGGGCTGGTGTGTTTGCTAAGTTGGCACCTATTGATCCAGTTTTGCGCTCCAAGGCCCTTCTTTTTTGGCTAAGGTTCTTGTTATTTCAGTGACCTGCTGTTCTGAGTAGGAAAGTCTTCAATTAGCAGTGTTTAAATGGAGTACACCTTTAAGTGCTTAAGTGCTTAAAAACTCACTGATATCCTGGAGACCAATATGTTGGTCCGTCAGAAGTGGATCGCTGTCTGCCCAACTAAAATTCCTGTTTTACAAATAAGGTTAGGGAGCATTTTCGAAGTATCCCTCCAGCAATTAATAATTATATATATATTTTGGGTAGGATCACATCAGACACTCTGGGCTTTTATTGCCTATTTTCTTTATCTTCTTCCTGTGATCTGATGGCTAACAAGTGCTGTATTTCAATTAATACTTTGCCAGTGTTGCGATGTTTATAATAGCCTAAAGATACCCAGCTAGCTGTTGAGTGGCAGATAAATGTGTCAACTAGTGTAAAACCCTCCCAAATCTTTCTAGTATTTACTTTTTTCTTCTTTACATCAATCACAACCCATCTTTATACATCAACTAGGTAACTATAGCTTACCAATACCTTCTAACATCTGGAAGAACGGCTCAGCTGATCACTTTAATGGAGTTTAGTGAATCTGGGCTGTTTTTAAACATGAATGGTACCTCTGAACATCTTTGCTTTAGGCAAACAAAAGAGTATTTGGATCTGAAAATAGCTAATTACATCAGACTTGACAAGCACAAAGAGAACCAGAAGACTTTATCTGGGAACACATTAAAAAATAGCTTCCTGAGACTATCCAAAGTGTAGTCTGTGGCTATCCAGGCCAAGACTTCCTGTTCCATCTGCCACCATCAAATGTTGATAAGATTAATAAAATGACAATCTGAGTAGTTGGCAGACAATAATCGATGGTTATGACACTGCATTTTGGAGAGAAAAAAAAGACAAAAAGTGGAACCAAATCCAGGTAAATGGTTACTCACAAAGCTGAGTAACCAGCCCAGTTACATGCAGTCAGAACCTGGTCTGCTCTGCAGAATCAGTCATAGAGGTTGATGTGATTTAGGTTAGGACCTGCTCTGTGGGTTCAAAGCGCTACATGTTTTCTCAGGCTTTCATGGCTAAATATTGTCTTAACTGAAAGTAGTTCATACAAAGTGTGTCGATGTCATTGCAGCTGTTCGAAGTAGGACGAGGAAAATTGTAGATCGCCTCACTTTTAAAAACATTTGAAATGCTTCTCTGTATTCATGTGTCAGTGAGTATCAGAAATGAATGATCATTTGGGGAAGTGAATGAGTTTTGGTATGCATTTGTGGGCACAGAAGAAAAAGAATCATTGTTTGAGGTCCAACAACAAACAGCTCTGCCAGCAGCCCTGGCAGTCAGTCATTAGCCTTATAATGTTGCCTTTGTCCATCGACAAAAGGCTTTTTCACATCAGGAGGTGGAAAGACCTTTTGCTTTTGACATTTTTACATACAAAAAAACTAATTTGTAGAATAAAACTCAATCTAGTAACAATGCCAGTAATGTCATTAACTTGTATTTCTTATCCTGTGTTCTTATTATTCATTTTCTCCTAGGTGGTGGAAGAGTGGAAGACACACACATCATACGATATGGGGCTAGAAACCGAGAGAGCAGCACGAGAGAAACTACAAAAACAGAGCATACACCATGAAGAGGTAAAAAGACACATCAGTTATTGGAAGTTTTCCAGAGTATCGCTCAAAAAGTTAAGTTACAGTGAACAGGATACTAAGGCAGGCTTTAAAAAAAAAAAAAAAAAAAAGTGTCAATATAAAAAGGGAAATTGAGGTTGTAAATACCTTAAAGGTGGAGTGTGAGGCAGAGCTCAGCTTTTAATTGTGCACCATAAACTCTTAAAAGTATATTATGTATGTGGGACACAAACACATGAACTGGAAAAGGAAAATGATAAATAATGTTGATCTTAATCTGATGGCACTGATCTAGGTGAGCAGTTAAATTGCATCAGAAATAGGGCTGTGCGATATGACCAAAACCTCATATCCCGATATAAGACATCTATCGTCCGATAACGATATAAATCACAAAAATTTAACATTTTCTGTAAATTCTGTGAATCTCGGGCAGCTCCTCTTGCGTGAAGTGTTTCCAGCTGGGCGTCATGTAGCTGGAGTCGAGTGTTTTAACCGATGCATGAAAATAATTTTTAGACAAATAATATATAAACCCAGCACGCCCCTGCGGGCGGTTTATCCTTCAAGCTCGGGTCCTCTACCAGAGGCCTGGGAGCTTGAGGGTCCTGCGCAGTATCTTAGCTGTTCCCAGGACTGCGCTCTTCTGGACAGAGATCTCTGATGTTATTCCCGGGATCTGCTGGAGCCACTCGCCTAGCTTGGGAGTCACCGCACCTAGTGCTCCGATTACCACGGGGACCACCGTTACCTTCACCCTCCACATCCTCTCGAGCTCTTCTCTGAGCCCTTGGTATTTCTCCAGCTTCTCGTGTTCCTTCTTCCTGATATTGCTGTCATTCGGAACCGCTACATCGATCACTACGGCCGTCTTCTTCTGTTTGTCTACCACCACTATGTCCGGTTGGTTAGCCACCACCATTTTGTCCGTCTGTATCTGGAAGTCCCACAGGATCTTAGCTCGGTCATTCTCCACCACCCTTGGGGGCATCTCCCATTTTGACCTCGGGACTTCCAGGTTATACTCGGCACAGATGTTCCTGTACACTATGCCGGCCACTTGGTTGTGGCGTTCCATGTATGCCTTGCCTGCTAGCATCTTGCACCCTGCTGTTATGTGCTGGATTGTCTCTGGGGCATCTTTACACAGCCTGCACCTGGGGTCTTGCCTGGTGTGATAGACCCCAGCCTCTATGGATCTTGTACTCAGAGCTTGTTCTTGTGCTGCCATGATTAGTGCCTCTGTGCTGTCTTTCAGTCCAGCTTTGTCCAGCCACTGGTAGGATTTCTGGATATCAGCCACCTCCTCTATCTGCCGGTGGTACATACCGTGCAGGGGCCTGTCCTTCCATGATGGTTCCTCGTCTCCCTCCTCTTTCTTGGGTTTCTGCTGCCTGAGGTATTCACTGAGCACTAGGTCAGTTGGGGCCATCTTCCCAATGTATTCTTGGATGTTCCTTGTCTCATCCTGGACTGTGGTGCTGACACTCACCAGTCCCCGGCCCCCTTCCTTCCGCTTAGCGTACAGCCTCAGGGTGCTGGACTTGGGGTGAAACCCTCCATGCATGGTAAGGAGCTTTCTTGTCTTTATGTCAGTGGCTTCTATCTCCTCCTTTGGCCAGCCTATTACCCCAGCAGGGTACCTGATCACGGGCAGGGCGTACGTGTTGATGGCCCGGATCTTGTTCTTACCATTCAGCTGACTCCTCAGGACTTGCCTGACCCTCTGCAGGTACTTGGTGGTTGCAGCCTTTCTAGCGGCCTCTTCATGGTTCCCATTTGCCTGCGGGATCCCCAGGTACTTGTAACTGTCCTCTATGTCTGCAATGTTGCCTTCTGGTAGTTCAATCCCCTCAGTTCTGACTACCTTCCCTCTCTTTGTTACCATCCGACTACACTTCTCCAGTCCGAACGACATTCCAATGTCATTGCTGTATAGCCTGGTAGTGTGGATCAGTGAATCGATGTCTCGTTCACTCTTGGCATACAGCTTGATGTCATCCATGTACAGGAGGTGGCTGACAACTGCTCCGTTCCGTAGTCGGTATCCGTAGCCAGTCTTGTTAATGATCTCACTGAGGGGGTTCAGGCCTATGCAGAACAGCAGTGGGGACAGAGCATCTCCTTGGTAGATCCCGCACTTGATGGTGACTTGTGCTATGGGCTTGGAGTTGGCCTCTAGTGTTGTACGCCACATCCCCATTGAGTTCCTGATGAAGGCTCTTAGGGTCCCATTGATCTTGTACAATTCTAGGCATTCCAGTATCCAGCTGTGGGGCATTGAGTCATAGGCCTTCTTGTAATCAATCCAGGCAGTGCACAGGTTGGTCAGTCTGGTCTTGCAGTCTCGGCTGACTGTTCTGTCTACCAGTAGCTGGTGTTTTGCGCCTCTGGTATTCTTGCCAATTCCTTTCTGTGTCCCACTCATGTATTGACCCATGTGCCTGTTCATCTTAGCCGATATGATGCCTGACAGGAGCTTCCATGTAGTACTGAGGCAGGTTATTGGTCGGTAGTTGGAGGGGACCGGTCCCTTCTTGGGGTCCTTGGGGATCAGGACCGTCCGACCTTCGGTTAGCCATTCCGGGTGTCTCTCGTTAACTAGCAGCTGGTTCATTTGTGCTGCCAGACGCTCGTGGAGTGCAGTCAGCTTCTTTAGCCAGTAGGCGTGAACCATGTCGGGCCCTGGTGCTGTCCAACTCTTCATACTGGAGACCCTTTCTTGGATATCTGCCACTGTGATGGTTACTGGACCCTGTTCAGGGAGGTCGCTGTGGTCTGCCCTCAGATCCACTAGCCACTGAGCATTGCCGTTATGGGTTGCGTCCTTCTCCCATATGCTCTTCCAGTATTGCTCCGTCTCCAGCCTTGGTGGTGCTGTTCTCTTATTATTGTTCCCTTGCCACTGAGAGTACACCTTTGCTGGTTCTGTGGAGAACAGCTGGTTTATTCTCCTGCCTTCTATCTCTCTGGTGTACCTCCTCAAGCGGCTGGCTAAGGCTGTGAGTCTTTGCTTGGCAGTTTCCAAGGCCTCAGGTATGGACAGCTTGCTGTATTTCTTAGGCACCTTCTTTGTCGCACCTTTCTGCAACTCCGTTAGTTGGCTAACCTCCCTCCGTGCTACTTTGATCTTGCCCTCTAGCCTCCTTCTCCATGGAGGGTACTGCCCCTTGTGGCTGTTCAACTTGTAGCCAAGCATCTCACTGATCACTGCTGCCGTATTGTAGATCAGCTTGTTAGTGTCGGTAATCGTGGTTGTAGGTATTGCCCGTAGTGCTGCATTAACATCATCTAGCAGACCTTCTGAGGGTACTTCACGTAATCTTGGTAACCGGCTACGGGGGATCCAGGTTTCAAGCTTGGCCATGATCCTATTTTTCAGGTCAGTTCCTCTCGCACTCAACGATCCTTCTCCTATCGCACTTGGGGCTATGTACCCAATCTCGGGTGGGGGTGATGATATCTCCCCCCTGACCTGGCGTCCTGACTCCTCCTTGCCATAGCATTTGTGTTGTACCTCGTCAATCTCTAGCTGTGAGAGCAGTCCCTTCTTTCGAATGTTGGAACACTGAGCTACTAGTTGTTTCGCCGTCATTGTGGATGTTGGGTATCGAAGAATCCATAGGTCCGTCATCCTATTCATGTAGCCCCTTCCGCCGGGGTTACTTGCGTAGTAGCATTCCAACAACGCCCTGTTTTCGTCTCTTGCCCACCGATGCCTTCTTGTTCCAGTAGCCCACTTTTCGTCAGGGTGCCCTGGTTCCTCAACACCTGACGCGGACCTTGTTGATCCGGGCGACGTCCGAGCCGGCATGCCTTCATATTTATCTGTCTCGCTCATGTCTGCGGTAGGCTCGCTTAGCATAGGGGGTCTAGCCTTAGGACCCTTACTGGATACAGACGCCCCAGGCAGGAATCGAACTTGCGATCCTCTGCTCCAAAGGCGTGTAGTCTAACCACTACGCTATCCAGCTGCTATGTATATATATATATGTATATATATATGTATATGTGTATGTGTATGTATGTATATATATATGTATATATGTATATATGTGTATATATGTGTATATATGTATATATATGTGTGTGTGTGTGTGTGTGTGTATAAATTTATTTTTTTTAGACATAAGTTGTAAAGGCAGCCATTTTCTTTGAGTATTTATTACACGACGTGCTGCGGGGAAGAGCATGTTCTAACGTTTGAGTCTAAGGTTTTGTTTTGTTTGTTTTTTTTTTTTAGCACCTGACAGCTATTTTTTGCTTCTCATCCGTAGATACTCTGCATACTCTTTCACGTGATTCAGTTTATTTTGAAAAGTCTCAACAGGATCTTGAGCTTTATTGTGAAGGGTTTATGTGGAAAATAAACAAGCGGACAGCGATGGTTTTACTGTCGTTGTTGCTAACGACAACGCATAAAAACAGGCGCTTGTCCGTCTGAAGTGTGGTTATATTAAATATAAGAGAAAGAGAACTTTAAGAAATAAATATAACCACTACGGTGACCATCAAAACGATGAAAAAAATATTGCCGTAAACGTTTATTTTGCGACACCACGAAACAAACGATAGCGTAAAATGAAACTGTAGATGTTTTTATATCGTCATCCGATATATGTCGTTATGTCGAACAGCCCTAATCAGAAATGTACTTTTTCTTCTGTTACCAGACTGTGAAGCCACAAGAAGCTGGAGAGGAAGAGACAAAGCTAGACCCAGAGTCGGATACTGTACCTGTTGCCCCTGAGCCAGAACCTACCCCAGATCCCCAGGCTGACTTGGGCCTGCAGATTCACACACAGGACCACGACCATGATGCCCCAGTGCTCGCCACTCCAGAACCAGTTCCAGCACAGGGCCAAGTGACCACAGATACCCCAGCAGAGACTTCAAGTGAACCAATTCCCAATCTAGACTCAAACCCAGACACATCCCCCGATGAAGCTGAAAACAAACCTACCTCACAGAGTGCTGGGCTGACCCACACAGGGTAAGCTCAGATTCACTTCATCAAGCCAATGATCTGGTGTCTTTCAAGAGAAGTTGGCTATAACCACAAAACTGAAATTGGAGAACTGAATTTCTAACCCTACATCGCTAAAAAAAAACCCCATAGAACATGTTGTTCTTCTTAAGGTTAAAGCCAATTTCACGACAGTCCAGGTCTAACGTAATCCGTTTCAGTGCCACTATTGTCATGTCAGACATTGCAAATGTGTTTTGGTATTTTTGTTTGACTTATGTTTCCCTCAGTTGCTTTTTCTTCACAATTATTTACGCAAAGTGACTCATCACACACTAGAAGATGAGTCTAAAGAAGATCTGACCCCATGGATGTTTCAGTTATTTTTCATGGAGCATTGTGCTGGAGCAAGGGACTGTTTATTTATTTATTTTCTAATGGTTTTTGTAATGGAAGTTTAAAAAAAAAATAAAGAGAATCATCCCTATGGACCTGGAACTTTGACCCAGATTAGTCTAAATATCCCCTACAACAACAACATGTCCTTCCCATGGTATCTTCTGTATTCAGAACTGGGGCATTTCAATCAGCATTTCAAGTCCTAATCAGCTAGCCACCAGCAGCAGCCAACCACTCTGCCCCCCTCTTCCTTTTCTCTCCCTCCCGCTCTCATGCCTCTGTGTCGTTTATCTCCTCCCCATTGTCCCCATCCCGCCCTCTCCCCCACCCTACCCTCCACCCTGCCCTCCTGTCTACCTTCCCCAGTGTAAGGAGGTGTGGTAAACACCATGTCCTTTCTTTCCCTCAGTGCAGTGCGGGTTGCCAGTGCAGGAGATGAATTCCCAGTAGACAGCTTTGTCTTTGCTGAGCACTCTGATTCACAGTGCGGGGTCATTCCCCCCGAACTGGCAACCTGTGAAAGCTCCCCTTTTGGCAGCCCTCTCCTCAGGTGAGTTTCTAACCACCAGAAGCCAATCAAAGCACAGAGACTGATAATGAAGGTACAAGCTACACCTCTCTGCTGTGCCCAACCGTCGACCGCTGGCCTTGCTCTCTACTTAATGTTGGTTTTTTTTTTGTTTTTTTTTCTTTTAAAATTTCCCTTCTTTGTTTTTCCTGCTCCAACCAAGGATTAAAAAAAAACAAAAAACGTCAAATTCAATTTTGTTATTATTATTTTTAACTCACATATTTGACATAGCCTTAAACTTATATTTATTCCATGCCCTTCTGTTCCTTTATTCTTCCCCTGTCCATTTCTTTCTGTTCCCTCTACTCCACATTGGTCCCCTCTCTGTGATGTAGCATGGATGAGGCTGTCACAGAGGACCAGCAGACAGATCAGAGGCACAGCTCTGGTCCTGAAACAGAAATTCAGTCGACTCCAGGCCTAGTGGACCAGGAACAAGAGCAGCGTGAGGTGCTCGAAGATGGGCTGTCTGTTTTGGAACAAGTGGGCAACACCTCACACCACCAACACAAAAAACAGCAGGTTAGAGGCTTTGTGGTGTTTGGGAATTGTTATTTCTGTTGTGAAAGAAGCAAATCGCATGTAGCATATGGCTTGAGGCATTACAAAACTGCTGGTATCATGATGGAAAATTTGACAGTTGGACACGTGGTGGGAGAAAAAACTTAGACCAAGGTACAGTCAACGTCCTTATTTCAGGTGAGATGTTCCTGAAATATGATCTGAGGGAGAAGATTATTTTGGAACAACTGCAACGACATGAGCACTGAGCTTGGATATAATAAGATCGGTGGCCTGAGGCTGAGTAAGTCCACCTGTCCGCACAGACTGCAAAACTTTCCGAAACCTGCCGTCTAGGTGGCCATGAACATTATAAATATTCAGCATGCACATCTGTTCTAGCAAAGGGCAACATTTGAATGTTTCAGTTTGAAAATGTTGAGTCAGCCTGCTGTCAGTTGCTTTTTCATGGTTGAAGGACGATTGTATCTGGGGAAAGTATTTAGTTTCGGAGGACGGGAGGGCTTGTGGTCATAGTGTATTTGTACCTCATTTTGCTGATTTGGAGCTGAGATCTGATGACTAATCTGTATGTGGCTGGCAATGACTCTTGTTGGGCTGTTAGGGTGTTTTACATAAGAGGCTGTCTGAGTTGTGGATTTTCAGAATCAGGCTGTCTTGTGAGGCTCAAATGGGCACTTATATAATCCATCAAAATATTAATCACAGCTCAGTGCATCTCAGTGCTTCAGTCACCACGGGCTAGCTTTACTACCACGAATAGAGGATGGGCATCTTTTAGTTGTTCTACCACACGCTATGCTTGTATAATAAGGTACTTGCTTAGTGAGTCACTGATGCCAAGTAACCTTGTTAACAGAAAGTCAAGGTTCACTTCTTCCACCATGTAAATATTTTTGCATATTATTTAGTGTCTGATATTTACATTCTGGATCTGTGTGTATGTTTCAGACAGGGGAAACAAACGCTCCCAGGGAGACTGATCCCTCTGTGCCCAGCAAAGAGGACATCCCTACCTTTGATGAATGGAAGAAGCAAGTCATGGAGGTGGAAAAGGAGAAAAGTATGTGGATTTATTGTACAGACACGAGACAGCTCGTACAGGGATGACTAGAGACACGTCACATGAACAACTAAGTTCTTGTTTAAGTTTGGGTTCAGGCACCTCAAAAATAGCTTGCTGATGTTAATCTGACTGTGACACAACATGTTTATGCCATTGCTTCTGTAAAGAAGACTACTTACTACCCGTTTGTATGCTGCGTCTTTTCTCGGTTGCATCCTTCCTTATGTTCTGTTCCTGTATAGCTTCCTTCTTTTTTTCCCTTCCTTTTCACGCTATGCACACTGTGTGCAGCAGTCAGTGGAGCATGTGTTTATGCATGTTGTGCAATATGTCTATTCTTTGCGGTTTGGCACCACTCATTTTCAAGGCTCTCGAAAAGACCTAATGTAGTGCTTTCTCTGTCCAGGTCAGTCTCTCCATACCTCAACCAGCAGCAGCCCCCATCCAACAAAGAAGGTCCAGAAAAACTTCAAGAATAACTACGCTTCTGTAGAGTGTGGAGCCAAGATACTCTCTGCCAACAGTGAGGCCAAGGTTAGTCGCACATCACGCTCTGCCGCCTACACACAAACGCGAATCCTCACGTAATTATGTGTCAACAGATGTGTCAAATGACTTTATACTTGTTCGCTTAGCATTTAAGCTGAGACCAGACATCCAAGCACGCATGAAACAATTTTTGTCACATTTTGACTGCAATTGTATAAGGAAACAAGCAAGATTAACAATGTTGGGGTGATGGTAGGATTTTAATTCAACTTTTTTTCTTCTTTCAGAGCACGTCTGCTATTCTCATGGAGAATATGGACTTATACATGCTGAATCCATGCAGCAACAAAATTTGGTGGGTCCCACAATAATGGTGGGGTTTAACTGAGCCCAATTTTTAGCTTTAAAAGTTTTACAATAATTATTTTTTATGTTCTCTACAGGTTTGTGATAGAACTCTGTGAGCCTATTCAAGTGAAGCAGTTGGACATTGCAAACTTTGAGCTTTTCTCATCTACACCCAAAGACTTTCTAGTTTCCATCAGTGACAGGTATTCACTTGTTGGTTTTTTTGTTTTGTTTTTTTTGTCCTTTTAAGCTAGTGTGCAATTGAAAAACTACACTCAGCATGCTGTCAGACAGTTATAGCAGACAAAGCTCTGTGTAAGCCCCATGCCACACCATTTACTTCCCCTGTTCATAACGGCATGTTCATGCATCGATTTTTTTTTTTTTTTAAATCTCATTTCGTTATCTTAACCATGATATTTGTAGTATTTGCATTGACAAGCAGTGAAAAATAGTAACCACAAAGCTTCATATGTTCTTTTAAATTACTGACATAATACTTTTGTCCACACTGGGATTCTGTTAGGACTAACATTCATTTAAAGCCCACCCTTTAATACCACAAACTCAGTTATGTAATGTTGCCTATTGCTACGTCAGTATGACTATCAACAGATCTTTTTACTGTCAGTTTTGCTGACAGCCATGCGCCTCAGGTGTAGGGGGGAAAAAACTGAAACAAACAGGCACCATGCCAAAAACGAAATTATGTACCGCTGCAGCAAGGCTCAAGCCGTCCCACAAACACGCATCTCACAAGCTGCGTAGCTGCACTAACCTGCTCAAATGATTTGCATAGGCCTTGCATCTACATTTCTAGTGTTGTATAGAAAGTAGTATGTTTTCAGTTCATTTCCACATGAAATTAAAAGTCAGTAGATGAGCGAAGGAAGAGGAAAGCTCAATGTGTCACTAAAAAATATTAAAAACCAAATTTTTATTATTTATTTATTTTTAGCTAAGGACATACATAGTGGTTACCAACTTAAGCATATAGAGACCTTTCATGTTTCCCATTTCCAAACTTGCACTGTGGCTAAATAAAGTTTCACAATAGTTTTGCATAATTTTTTTTTTTTTTGTTTGTTATTTTTTGCTCATAATAAATTAATATTAAATGTTTTTTGTTTGTTTAGTTTTTTTTTTTAATCAAGTACTTTTCTTTCTATCATCACTGGCTGGATCATATGCAGTTCCTCCTAGAAAAAGTCAGTTGTATTTATATATACCACCAGTTCACAACAGTTGCCTTACAGCTCTTTATATTGTAAGGTAAAGGTCCTACAATATTAGCAAGAAACTGACAGCTATCCACCATAACCCATTTAGAGATGAGGGGAAAGCCAGTACTCTATAATTAAAGCAGTTTCTTAACCAGTTTTGCATTCATTTTTGTCCCCTAGTATTATCACCTCTAAATTTAGTGCAGTCATGGCTTGTGTTGTCTTTGTTAAAGATTTATATCTAGCGCTGTCTTGCTCCATAATGCCGATAATTGCCACTAGACATGGCATGAATATAATGACATTTGTATCCACCCTGTGAGGTCATGCCAGATGACATGTTACAAAATCGATCTTCCTCACATTCACATCGTACGTTTCCCCTCTCTCTGTTGCAGATATCCTACCAACAAGTGGGTAAAGCTGGGAACTTTCCATGCTCGCGATGAACGGATAGTCCAGAGCTTCCCACTAGATGAACAGCTTTATGCTAAATATGTGAAGGTACTCCTGTTTACTTGCAGATAGAATAATAACATATCATAAAGTGTACATAAAATGTCCCCATTTTCAGTGGTATATTAGAAATCTTAGACATAGATATACACACATACTGACATGGTTATATACAGAAGTTAAAGGTGTAGGTCCAGGGAGTGTCTTGTGACTTAATAGAAAGTTACTGATGACATCAGGGCAGTCATCTTTTGAATAGCTAAATTATGGTGACTGTGAGGGCGTAACTGTTTACATGTGAGAATTACATAGTAGAGGAACTCGACGACTGTTTTGATTGTATTTAACATGTGAGCGTCACGACTGGCCGTCTTGGACTGTGTGGATTGTACTTACATCACGCTAGAGTTTATATTAAGCTGTGATCCTTTTTCAGGGCGCTTACAGTAGTTTCCACTAAAATGAATTTAAATTTCAGATGGTTAAAAATTAAGTTTGCCACTGAATGATAAGGAAAACTAAACAGACAAGAAGCATTAAAATAATTTTTGTCCCTACGCTCATGGTTCAGATTCCTAAATGCTCCCATATCTGGGATTCTGTCTCCATCCGTAAGTCAAACCAGATGTGCCTCATTCTGCTTAAATTGCAGCGTAACAAACAAAGCAAGGTGTTCATCGATGGATATCACTTTATTATCTTTTTTTTTTGTTTTTTGTCATACACATGGCCTCCTAAGGAAATTTGTTGTCCATTGCATTTATGAAATCTGCTTCTTTCTGATTAAGTGTGTTAAAGGTTGGCTATGTAGTTATGTCTGTGAGCTTTCACACAACAGCCCATTATTATCTATAAAAATGGGTTTGAAAGTGTGATCTAAATCGGTGCTCTTCTAAACGGTCTCTTTCCTTACAATCACTTTTGCCAATAAATATTCAGTGTAGACTTGTTAAGCAGGTGATTAATACTTGGATAATTATCCTTTTTTATGTAACTCGTGGGTGTTTTGTGTAGGAGCTTACTGTTGATTCACATCTATTCTGAACCAGTTTTGTTTCTATTACATAAACTTGTTTTTTGTTTTGTTTTTTAGATTTCAGCTTCATCTATTTTTAGTTTCTACTTCCTGAGCATCTTCTTTTTTTTTTCTTCTTCTTCTTTTTTTAATGAGTAGTGAGCCTGTAAGTCTGTCTGTCTTTCCCTCAGTCTTGCTTGTGTCTTTCTTGCAGCTTATTAGAAACATCTGTTTAGTGTCTTGCCTGTGTTCTGTTGCAGAATGGTGATCTTGCATATATCAGCTGTGTGTTTGTCGTAGAAGAGAGCTGAACCGTACACAGATTCTTGACTTCCTTGTAGCTTGAATCAGCTCTTACTGATTTCTTTTTCTTGTTTTATTTCTCTCTCCTTCTGTCTTTGTCTTCTTCTCGCATCAGATGTTCATCAAGTACATAAAGGTTAGCACTCTTCTCTTTCTGTCAGAGGTTATAATGGGCTGAAATAAGAACACTTTTATTTTTTGTATACTCAAATGGGCGAGTAGAGTTTCATCTTTAATGCATGTGGATAATAAACAAGTAAAACATGCACAAACTGTCAAAGCTTGGCAGTTCTACTAATTTGGTGGGTTGTGGGTTCATGGAGTTGTGCATATTTTTATACTGTTTAATAGCTTAACTATTGTACCTGCAGGTTGAACTTCTCTCTCATTTCGGATCTGAACACTTCTGTCCCCTCAGTCTTATCAGGTAAGTTAAAGAATTTCCTTTATCTTTCTAGACCTTTCTCTAATCTTATCAACCCATGGGTGGCTGTAGCTCATCTACTAATTGGGAGGTTGGTGGTTCGATCCCTAGCTGCTTCCTGGCTCCTCTAGTCTGCATGGCAACTATCCTTGGGCAGGATGCTAACCACAACTGTTTTACAATGCGTTTATATAGAAAAAGCATAGGAAAAAGTGCTTGTGCGATTGGGTAAATTATGCAAATTGTAAGAAGCACTATTTAATAAAACCAAATAAAATGATATCTGGCATAAAAGTTAATATTTTCTAACAGTTATGCCATTCCTTTTTTTTTTTTTTTTTTTTTTTTTTTTTTTTTTTTTTTTTTTTTTTGGAAGAACAGTCTTATCGTCTTGTCTTGTTCCAGTTTACTTAATTAGATCTTGAAAGTTTCTGGCATCTGTCTTTTAAAACACAACCGCCTTTATCATAAGCAGTGTTGACAAACAAACACTTTGATTTTATTACATCAATGCAAATTGTTATCCAGGCAGCTGTAATTACAGGAGCGTCGCTATATCATGAAAGGTCTGTTATGATTAGATTTTGTTGTTTACTTATTAGGCACCACCTTAATAGTTGTTGTTGTTGTTGTTGTTGTTGTTGTTTTAGATTAAATTCTGAATGTTGTAACACAGCTAAAATGCCTTTTCTTGCACAGTGAGTCTGATGATGAGGGTTCCTTAAGAATGTCCACTTTAAAGACCTTAATTGCACAATCACAATAAGGGGAAAAAAGGAATTAAAAAAAAAAAGAAACAAAAAAAAAAGTGTTTTGGTGTTTTTTGAAGTTAATTTCCCTCAGATGGTACTTCTTATATACAGTCATCACTTGTGCGTCCATATCCAACACATTGTTCAGTTTCCGTGAGTTTTTATCTTTTATCTCAAAATGTGCTCAACTGGCATTGTTTTCTTAGAGCTGCATCAAAAAATTCCACTGCCTCCGCTGTGTGGTAATTTCAACTCTTGACCTTTTCTGTAGGTCTGTTTGTGTAACGTATTGTTTTTTTTTTTGTGTTGTGTAGGGTGTTTGGTACCAGCATGGTGGAGGAGTATGAGGAGATAGCAGATTCTCAGTACCCCTCAGAGAGACTTGAGTATTTGGATGAGGACTATGGTAAGATGTTGACGTCGATTTCAAATGCACAAATTACAAATTTCAAATTTGTATGTAAAAGACCAGAAATGGATGTGTTAACATTAAATGAATTCATACTGGCGCAAATCTATAGGTTATACCAGGCTCAAAAAGCCAAAATACATTATTCTTCAAAGTAGTTACCAAATACATTACTTCGATTTCTTGCCTTTGTTTTCCAATTAATATGATTTTATTTTAACTGCTACCACGTGTTTCTCTTCAGACTATCCTCCTGGCTACCAACCAACAGAAGACAAGGCCTCCAAAAACCTGCTTGGTTCAGCAACCAGTATGTACACGTACACACGTTCTTATAAATGCAGTCGTGAAAAATAGATTTTCACAGAACTTTATGCAGTTGAGCTGGTTCACTAGCTTGTTTGAACCACTTTTAGTGGCAATAACTTGAAGATCAGTGTCTCACATCTTTAAGGGGGAATTCTTCATGTTGGCGCAGCCCTCATGAGGTCCCTTCACACCATTTCAGTCAGATTGAGTTCTGGACTTGGCACCATTGTTGCACCCTGATTCTTTTTTTAATATTTGCTGCTGTGCTCTGTATCTTATATTCCTGTAACGTAACCCAGTTTGGGCCGAGCTTTTGCTGTTGGTCAGATGGCTTCAGCACAAAAGCGGACAGCCCTACCTGATCGAATTTAAAAAAGGAATAAGAAAATGTGTCAACTGTCATGAAAAATGTTAATGAAAATGTTTCGTTACATGTCATCAAACTGCAGCTACAGTAATCTGGTGTTTCCATCCTATGTTAAAGAAGAACTATTTTATGATTTGTGTAAGTTTGGCTTTAATACTGTTGTATCCAGTCATAGTGCACACAGTTTTTTTTTTCAATTATCTCAGACCTCATACAGTTGTTGGTACAGCAGCCAACTTTATGGCGTGTTGGGTATGAACTCATTCACATACTGTTCAACTTGAAGTATTTTAACCCACTTGGTATCCTGCGTACACACTGTGGGCTTTTTGAGTTGCATAAATTTTGCTGCTTGGCTTTATTTATTTATTTATTTTTTCCAGAAACCACACACACATGCACAAATACACTGGTGCCCTTCTGTCTCCTGAGTTAGCGAAGGAGGGGAACGGTGCACCCCTGAAAATGTACCGTGAACACAAGTCTCAGAGCTCTAACCATAAACCATAAAAGGGCTTCAGAGTGGATGGACCCTGGAGGAAAGGCTTAAAATAAAACTCATGACAGTAAATCCAGGGGACATAATATAGAAGGAGAATACAGTCATCAGAGAGAATGGTTAAGAAAATAAAGCAAAAACATATGGCACAATATGTGGTTTGGCTTTGATGTGTTTGACCTGAAGCTGCTGTCAGTCAGAAATCTCATGTCATGGAAAATAAATGCATTGCGTGGATGTTCTTCTTCTTTGTTTTTGTTTTTAGATGCCATCCTAAACATGGTAAACAACATTGCTGCTAATGTGCTGGGAGGAAAGCCAGAGCTGGAGAGTGGAGCAGAAACGGGAGGTACTGATTTCTCAGAGGCCACTTTTTAGACCTTTTTAAAAGTTTACTTTTCTGGGGGTTTTTTTTTGGGGTTTTTTCTTTGGGGGGTTATTTTTCTACCATCACATTTTCACATGCAACACTTGAACAGTACACCATACACAAGTCAACATTTTCAGCTATCCTACATTCATCAGAGTATCTTAGACTTATTTATATTGCTTCATTTTTAATTTTCTTAAAATAACCTCAAAATAAATCCATTCATACTGATTTTGGGGTTAGCCCAAATGGGCGCTGAAGTAACTTATATTTGCACTGCTCTAAGCATAAGTGTAAGGCAAAGTATAAACACATCCATGCACATGTGTAACATAAGCTAAAATTTGTTTGGCTTCCCATTCAACTGCCAATAAAGAGCTGATAAACTCAAGTTTCCTGTTTTATAGACATCACATTTAGGTGATCTGTTACTGTCTCTTTAAAAGTTAAAGTAAATTACAGATTTAAACTACAGATTGCCAGGAGAACGTTACACATGCTGATTAGGGGCACATTTTTTTATGTGTGTAATGTACATGTAAAAATGGTCTAGTACTCGTGTTTCGCAAACTACTTGTGTAACATTGATGGCTCAGCCTCTTCACATATTCCGCTTTGTTAGAAAAGACCTTGACTTGAATTCTGTTGCATGTTGCTCCCACACCTTAGCTCGAGGTAACATGACTGGTCTATCTGTATGAAGTGTTATGGAGCAGGGATTTCCGAGTCAGCACTATAAAAGACTTTTACTGAGATTGTTGAGCATGAATCATCCATCCAACAGGTTTTGTTTTGTGAAGGTGCGTGCATGTGTGAAAAGCTAATTGGAAATTCCGGTTAAGAAACGTCCATATTACATAATAGGTTTCACACCTTCCTGAGGTTTAGATGAAAACTTCCTTAATGTGAAAGCAAATTATAGTTGTGCTTCTTCTATAGACCGTATAGCGTTATCTTATGAAATCCCTTTAAAAACAAATTCAAATGTATTTAACACTTATAAAGCAAACTTTAATGCTGTGTTTTCACTCCTGTACTCTGCTCTTACTGTGTGACTGCCTTTTTCCTCGCGTTCTCCAGCCAGCCTGTCTTTCCACATCTTGTTTAGATTAACTGCTTCAAAAACTGGGTCACTTTTATTTCCTTGGCTAAAGTGCAAACATATGCATAGACTGAATGTTCATGTGTATATGTGCTAAGAGAGCCAGATGTTTACTTGGCTCTTGGCAGGAGGTCCCTAGCGGTATTTCAGCAGAACTTTGGCTATCTTTGTTTCAGTTCTTCTTGGCAAGGAGCTCAGCTAAATTAAGACAGAGTTAGGCCTATGACGCTGAGCTTTCTTCTAGTTCTGTCTACCACACAGAGCGCTATCAAAATGACTCCTTAGACAACTTTTCTCTAGTGGGGTTGACTTAAAGAGGGGAGGAATCTATTAACAGATTTGGCTCTTATGTTTCTTTATGCTTTAAAAAATTTATTGTATTTAGACCTGTTGGTTATGACAACTGATAAAAAAAAAAATACATAAAAACCCCCCACAAATTCATCCTTGCAATTATTAGCACAACTCTAGTGTCTTTTTACTGCTTGCTCTCTACAGTGGCTGTTTTTATTCCCATTTACACCCACTGAGTGAGGCAGAATTTGGGAGAGACACAATCAGTTCAAACTGGAACAGACTGGTTCACAGCATTTCTCCCTTTGCCTAAACATGGGCATTCCAGCCTGGAGGGACTGTGCACCTACACTGTCCCTCCTACAGGAGGGTGGAAAGAAACGAGCCACTGCCAAGTTAGAGGGTTCTACGCAATCTTAAAAACAGTAGCCAAGTGTTATTGCTGTGCTGTGTTTGTTTAATTGTTGTGTGTTTCTCCAACCCCCAGGTAACGCAACAACAGAGGGGGGTGAAAAGGAGAGCACAGAGTCAGCTAAACCAACTGAGGCCCTACACACAGTGTAAGAGCCATCAGAGATAAACCTTTATTCATTTAAATTGAATTCAGTTCCACGTGATGAGCTTTTCAACTCCAAATCCCACAGAAAGCATGTTTTTGGTTTTTCTTTTCTTCAGACTGCAACCTTCAAAGCCAGAACAACCTACAACAGAAGAGGTCTCTGTCTCTAGTGACTCCTCCACATCTTCCCACTCATCATCTGATCCACATAAGGATGTGGATCAGATTGTCACTCTAGTAGAGGAGGAGGAAGAGGATGAGGAGATCAGACTGTCAACTGTTACTCTATTGGAGGAGGAGGGAGAGGATGATGAAGAAGGGGAAAAGAGCGAGGAGGAGATGAGGAAGGAGGCAGACAGGAACCAGTGGGAGAGCCAGGCTTACTGTCCTTTCACCTCCTTCTCCTCCCTCTCTCTGTCTTGCATGGTCACTCTGCCTGAGCTGCTCCATCGCTGGTGCTCTGCCAGGCTGGCCAAGGAGAGACTGCGCAGCCTTAAGAAGAGGCAGCTTAGCACTCAAACACAGACTCACCCTACTGTGAGCACACCTGTCCTCACACACACACCTCCACTGATTCCTATTCCTGCCCCCACACCTATCCAAGAACCCCTTCCTCTCACAGAAAAAGCTCCAGAACTCGAGGTGCCTGAGAATGGGCAAAATGAGTGCAAAGCTCTCAGTGAGGAGTACACCACTGACACGCCTCTCAGCACTGACACACCTGATTCATACACTCCCGAGCTCAGCATCCTCCTAGAGCCCAGCAGAACCTCCACCATCCCCCCTCAGAGTTTCTCAGACAGCCACAGCTCCCTAACACAGCCTACCCCAACCCCAAAGGAGAACTTGTTACCTTTAGTTAAAGACGCAACCCTAGATCCTGTCCCCACTCCTCTCCTCCAAGCTGTCTCTATCCCAAAGACGCAGCACACCAGCAGCGTCACCCCCACACTTTCTGCCAGCACTCCCCCGTTATCTCCATCTTCTGAGACGGCTTCTCCTGTCGTCACGGTTCCTCCTGTCAAAGATCAGCCTGTTCAGCCTCTTCCCACTGCTTCAAGACCTGAGGATTTTATCTCCCCTCCCACTGAGCTGCCAGCAGCTTTGCCTTCAAATGACATTCACACAGACTCAGTTAAGTCAGGCGTAGACAGCGGGGACTCGCAGAGACAAAATGTTCAGGCTTCCCAGACCCACGGGGAGCAGGCTGATTCACTTCCTCAGACAGGAGAGCCTCATCGGGTGGAAGAGACTGTAGAAGAGGAACTGCTGAATGCTAGTGGTAATGGCAACGCTCAGCGGACGGCTACAGACTTCTATGCAGAGCTGCAGAACGGTGGAGATTATAATGGTGGAGCAGTGAATGGGAACAGCGTGTTAGTTAACGGAGGCGCAGTCCACGGATCCAGCCAGAAAGAGAGTGTGTTCATGAGGCTGAACAACAGGATCAAAGCTCTGGAGATGAACATGAGTCTGTCCAGCAGATACTTGGAGGAACTCAGCCAGAGGTGAAACCACTGGCCATGTTGAACTTTTCAAATCTAAACTGCAACAAAAAGCAAAGTTTCAGTACAGATTTTACTGCCCTAATTTGTTTCGGATATTTGCAATCTGGGAGAGATTATTAGAAGTTATTTCTGTGATTTCCAGATATCGTAAACAGATGGAAGAGATGCAGAAAGCGTTCAATAAGACCATCATCAAGCTGCAAAACACCTCCCGTATTGCTGAGGAACAGGTCTCATTGCATTAATCATCTTAAATCACAGTAAAATATGTTTGCAGTTAAGAGTCTTATTTACTCCATCTACTGACACCTGAGCAGCTGTGCTGACTAATATCTTCTTTTTTTTTTTTTTTTTTTTTTTTTTTTGTATATTTTCAGGACCAGAAGCAGACTGAGTCCATCCAAGTCCTGCAGAGTCAGTTGGAAAACGTCACTAAACTGATGCTCAATCTCACAGCTACAGTCAGCGAGCTGCAGAGAGAGGTATATTGCTATCGTTGATTGCTGAGTAGACTATCTATTGCTTAGTTTTTAACAGAATTGTCTTTTTGTGTTGGGCTTAAAACCTTGTTGCTAGTGCTCAGAGAAGGAGTTATTCTTCCTGTTGAAAATAGATCATGATGCTTCTGGCTCATTAACATAATGTAGTTTAAACACCATCTGTTGTCAGATCTCTTGCTGTTCCAGATATAGTCCAGGTTTGATTTTTATGTTCGGAGTAATGATTTTAGTAGTCGGGACCTTGAAATCCATCTGAAATGGAGTATGCCAGATAGTAGGTACCAGCCAGAGTAACTAGAGGTGAAATTAAGTATAATGGAATATAACATTCGTTTTACTTACAAGTTTGTTTATAAGTAGATAAACAGACAATTTAAGTAGTTTTTTTTTTTTTTCACATAAGTATAGTGTCTGTGTGAAACCTTAAAATTCATGGCCATCATGTATTGTTTTAACTTTTTTTGTTTTGTTGTTTTTCGTTTATTTAAAGTCTTTTGCTTCTTCCAAAACACGGGCAGAGTTTGACTTGAGTGGAAAACATTTTTCTGACTTGAATATTTCAACATGTTTGGCTTTGACTTTTCACCAAGGCACATTTTCTGAGCCCACATGATTAAATGCAGTTACATTAAAAAGGATGGAGGATAAAGTTTGTGTATCCTTTTTAGAATAACAATTTGTGGGTAGTTTGTCCTGGTTTTTCTTTCTCTCTTTTTTTTTTCTTTTTTTTTTTTTTATAAATTCACTGGGCCTTTTGCGTACAGTGTTTAGGCCAAACTAAAAGTGCTTTTGGAGTAAGGTCACGGAGGACATGGTACAAAACATCACAACTGGGGAAAAGGACCACTCACGGTATCATAAGTCGACGTAGCTGTTGAATGTTTGATGTGTTGTGCATTGTTTCACTGTTGACTGCTGAAATCATCCTCTGCAGGTATCTGACCGTCAGAGCTACCTGGTGGTCTCTCTGGTTCTGTGTCTATTTCTGGGGATCCTGCTGTGTCTGCAGTGCTGCCGCAGCTCGGCCCCCGGCCCCAGCACCAACTCTACTGCTCTTCCCAAGAGCAACCACTACCCCAGCCCCAAGAGGTTTGTCACCCGCATGCATGAATAGGATATTTTATTTCTGAAGCTTTGCTATGACGTTTGTTAAGTGTTGTTCAGTGTTTTCGTATTAGACTGAATACTGAAGCTGTTGTCTGTCGGTTGCTGTCATTCCCGTCTTGCTACTAACTGTAGAAAGATTGACAATCAAGGAATGAATGTAGCATCTTGTAAATGTCAGTCATTTTTCCCTCCCTTATCAGATGCTTCTCCTCTTACGATGACATGAGCCTGAAGCGCAGGGTGACCTGCCCACTTGTTCGCTCCAAGTCGTTTCACCTGTCCTCTACAGAAGGTAAGAGGTCTTCTTCCTACGTGCCCATTCACTTTTCAAAAATCTCTCCTCCAACACACTTTTGTTTTACCCATATGTTTCCTCCTTTTGTTTTTCCAACTGAAACATAAGCAGCATTGAGATCTGACACTACAGTCACGCTGCAAACATCATGTAATCTTGCCTTTGGGCACTTTCAGGCTAACTGCTTTTGATCACTGCGTCTATTGCCACATATCTCTCCCCATCCAAACACTACTTAGCCTTGCTTCATTCTCTCCATCGCTCACTCTTTGTACCTTTGCTGTTGCTTTAAGACATTTTGCCAGGTTTAGTGACTGATATCCCTCTTGTTGCCACTGCCTAAAGCAACACACGCCCACAAGGAAAGGCTGGTGCAAGCAATAAAAGTATCGGCTCTTGAAACCTTAAACTCCCGCTGCTGTTCATTACCCCCTAATGACGTGCATGCGTGTGTGTGTGTTAGAGAGAGAGTTTGCCCTTGAGGGTGGGAGGCTGTCATTGCCAGCTTGCCACATGCAGGCATAAGGAGTGTAATAATAGAGCACAATGCTTTGCTGGCTCATGGTAGACATTTGCAAGTAGTATTCCTTAATAAAAACAACACCTGCTTTTCTATTATTTCAAATCTTGTTTTAACAACAAGCTATTACTACAATATGGATTTATGCCTTTTCATCTTTAAAACTACTTGCAAGGTCGCTTCATGCTTATTACATGTACGTATTCCTGTATCCCATTCCATCATTAACCTAGCCCCTTTCTCCCCTCCCCAGTAGGTCCAGATGACTTGTACATTGTAGAACCTCTAAGGTTTTCTCCAGAGAAAAAGGTACAGTGTCTGTTGGCTGTGATGGCCGTCGTATACAAGTACTGTGTTTTCTCGTCTCAATGAGTCTTTCTAATACGTCTGTTTTAGAAAAGGGAATTCTTTATTTTGTGGAGTAAATGAGATGAGGTATCAGCTGAGCAGTGGAAAGAATTGGCGAA